GTGGTTCAGCACTTTAGGCCCTCTCTGTACCCCCATCGTTGACTCTCTTGCTCCCTGTCCTCGCACTGGAGTTGACTCTTTCGCTCACTGTCCTTGCAAAGTGTAACCTGAGCTCGTCTAACTCCTCACTGGCCTGTGTTCTTACACCCAAACAGCACAGACCACCTGCCTCATGCCCATGGGAGCCACAACAACTTATATTTAACCTCAGCAAAAGCCAACACTATGGAAAAACCTTTGAATATGTCCTTCACTGGCTATTTCAAAGCTCCCTAGTTCAATAACATTTATTGTGCTTATGAAAAAAAAAAAAAAAGGCCCCAGCCAGGCACGTTCACCTGTCACTCTCAAAAGATGGCAAGTCTCTTACCAAGAAAAGCAAGGCCACCAGATGCAAACTCCATCAGGCTGTACAATTTTCCCCATCCTCTCCTGTTCCTTCCTCAGTGTATCTGTGCCAAAGAAACACACACCTCAATTGGCTTGTGTCCTGGAAACCACTTCTCCCACCTCTTGAGGGAAGTGAAACCACCACGTATCACCCTTTCAGCACCATCAGCTCTTCAAGCTCTGACCTTTCTCTCTTCATACTTCGCTATCTAAGAAAAAATAAAAATAAAAAGCAAACAAGCTCCCCTCCTCCTCTAGCTTTTATTTCCACTTAGCTCGTTGCCAAAGTGCTTGTCTCCATTCATTCTTCAGCTCCCTGCCGTCAGAACTTTCTCCTACTGCTGATTGAATATTCCTAAAATCCACACATTGCCAGAGTCATATGATTCCAGCTTTATCTTATTCAACCTCATAAGGGCAACTGTCACTAGTGGACAGCTCCCATAACCCCTGACGAATCTGGAGACAGCTCTGAGAATACAGAGTGAAATCCACAAACAGAGGCTACAGCCAGCTGTAGCAGTCTCACACAAGAGACTTTTGGAAAAACATGACCCAAAATGTCAGCAACATTCATATGATCAGAGAGTAATTCCAGGAGCTGGGGTAGACTCTGATAATAAATTAGTGGTGGATAGCTATGTTCCAGGGGAAATGTGCACCCAGGCAGGGCTACCTCGCCTGAGACAGCACAAAGGGATCCCCCAGGGTTGCCCAGAGAGTCAACGGGCCAGGTGGAAGTTTAAAGGAGACCTTCCCTTTATTACTAATGTTTGAACCTGAGAAGAAAAATGAGTTCAGGAATTACTCGTGCAGCTGAAAAGAGAAGATTCTAGTAAAGTAAGTCAGATACCAAAGCATACATTCTGTATAGAAATGAAGAGGCAAACTAATCTATTGGGGAAAAAGGTCAGAACAGCTTGGGTTGTACAACTGGAAGGGGCCTGAGTGGCCCTTCCTTTGGAGTGCTGAAAACATTTACTATCTTGAGGGAGGCAGGCTTGTTACACAGGTATAAATTAACCAAGCCGTATGCTTACAATTTGTGTATTTTGCTGCATGTAATTTATACCCCAATTACAAATAAAATATAAACATATACACTTTCTAAAATGAAAAAAAAAATCTGTGAATTAGAAGCAACATCCCAAATCCGAGAACATGTTTCGTCCAATGAAATTGTGTGTTAAGTATTCAGATTGCACAGTTGAGGCTCAGCACTCTGATGCCAGTCTAAACAAACCAGCTTTGTGACTCCAGTTTGAGTCCTCTGAGGGCTTACTCACCTTCCTACTGTGCTCACACCCATGCATTTGAAACTTGCATGCTTTCTTTGTGGGTTAATAAATTGACATTCTGGCCTGGAGATTTCAATCTCCAAAAACCCACTTAATACTTATTAGTAGTCTTGGCTGTCAATAATTCAGGCACCTGCAGAGTACTACCTGGTGAGGGCTTTCAGCAGTCAGCTGACTCTGCTGTCCTCTGACCAGGCTTCTCTTTGGCCATACCGTTCTGAGAAAGAGCTACTGATGGAGGTGTGCGGAGGGGTGTGCAGGATGCATCCCAGCTTCGCACCCCCTCTCCTCCACACCTTTCTCTGCCATGACTCCCTCTGAGGTTTCATCATTTCTCACCTTTCTGGTTGCAGCTGTTTCTAGTACCTCTCCTTGCCACCTGCCTCACCTCACTTTCCTCTACCATGCAGAGACCACACTGTCACTGACCTTCCCAGTGGCTCCCCAGTACTCCCATGGTCAAGCTCAAACCACTACCCTCAGTTGAGGTGACAATTTTACTTAATCCACTCCACCCCCACCCCCACCCTTTCCTACAGTGTGGCTCAGTGGTGACATGATTGACCTCCAGATGGGACCATCCTTCACAGCTTGGATCTATCCTACATGTTCCAGCAGGTTTGGCGTCCTGCCTCCTGCCCACTGCATGCCTGCAGTGCCTCACCCACCCTCAGATATTGTAACAACTACCGCAGCCCCTGGACACTTCCAAAAACTCCATGCTGCCCCTTTCCCAAACTGACAACCTCCTCCCACTCCTTCATACCTCAAATATTAGGCTCAATCACATGAAATTGTCATCTTTTTAGGTCAAGAACATTGGATATTGGCTGTTTAAAATGATTCAACCGAGGATTACTTCTCCTTCAAGCCTCCCTAGTGATGCTCGCAGCACCCCGTGAGTTTCTTAATTGAAGTTGTGACCACATGTGTCCTTACAGCTGGTTTACTTGTCAATCCTTCCTCCTACCGCTTAGCTCAGCCCTAATTATCTAGGAGCAAGTGGCCAAGTCCCAAATCACTTTATCTTCTAGCATTTGGCACAGGGCCTGATACATAATAGGTAGTAAACCTGTGTTTGATGAATCAACAAACAGGATGTCGGGCATACTTTCCCCGATGACTCAGTGTTGCTATTCCTGGCCACAGAGACACCTTTGGGGCACGAGGAGCCACTTACTGCTTTTTGGCTCTACATCCGATGACCCTCTGCTGCACTGCCTTACAGATTTATGTGTCAGGACTTTGCATGGTGTCCTCAGGGTGCCCACCTCCAGTGACCCTTTGTTTCCTTTAGAATCTGAAGCAGACCTTCTAGAGTGCTGGACTGAGGCCCTCTGTGAACTTGGGCACCTGAATGTTATGACAGCAGCTCCATTGGTTCAGGGTTCTTTCATCCCATTCCTGGATTCTTGCTTAAAGGTGACTCAGGAGGACATCAAAGTAGAGACTGTCCCTACAATCTGATGACTGTCCCTGGGACCATGGTGGTGACAGGATGATGGACTGAGTGATTTCTTAAGGTATGTTCTAAATGCTTATTATGTCCCCGTAGTCAGAAAGTACTGGCACACTTTTTTATTTTTTCTGAAAAAAAGTTTCATCAATAAACACCAGTCTATCGATCTCAGATATAAGATCTCTTTTTTAGAAAGTTTTTGGTTTGGATAACTATAGACAGAAAAAAAAATAGATGTATACATACTTCAAATGGAATCTAGTCCAGGACCCCGAGGGACAGAGACAGAGGGGCAGACAGACAGAAGTAAATGGAGAATATGATATTTTAGAAAATGTTGATATTTTCTGTGATAACAGATGATAGAAAATCAGCAAACAACTGTTTGGTTCTTTCTTTTATTTTCAATATTTCTTTCATCATCATTTTTATCTTTTATAAGATAATTACAATTTAAGAGATAAAACTATATAAACAGAAGAATGTTAAATAGGTATTAAAAAAAAATAGCTTTCCTTGCCAAAAAGCCCATATGATGTTATTCTCTAAAACATAATTGTATATCTTATACTGAGCCAAGTAGCTTATAGGAAATTCATATGAAATAGCTAAACACAGAAGACATACAGCTATGAATAATTTAACACAAAATAGTTTAACTTTAAGAAGCTGCTTAAACAAAGCAAACCATGATGCAATATGAATCAACTTCATTAATTGGACAAGTCCAAGGAGGCACCAATTAGGTAAGAGCTAAACCCTCAATGTGCAGATGAAATCGCCAACCCCAGATGGGTTCCTTTTGTTCTTGGGCTGTGTCCAATTCCATTCCAGAAAAGCATTCTATTTTTACATCTTTCTGACTCTTTGGCTATAAAGAAAAAAGAAGAAGAAGAAAAATGTAAGCAAAACCAAGTGGCTGGATGGTGGGAATGGCTTTGGTACCTAAACATCACTTTACGTGTCCTTAATCTCATCCCAGGATGCCAACCCGCTCTGTCCCTATGAGGAAACTGAGGTTTCAAGTGGACGAGCCTTGCCCAGAACAACTCAGCTAGTTAATGACAGAAACAGGATGTGAACACTGATCTCGTATTTCCAAGTTCAGTGTCTATGGCACATAGGCGCCTTCTGTCCATTGATAAAATGTGACTGTCCCTTATCATCAATATACTCAGAACCACTGAGTATATCTTTCTATCTAATGTTTATTTTTCAGTTTTTATTTTTTTTATTTTTATTTTTTTGAGACAGAGCCTCAAGCTATCACCCTGGGTAGAGTACCATGGCTTCACTGCTCACAGCAACCTCTAACTCCTGGGCTCAAGCAAGTCTCCTGCCTCCGCCTCCCAAGTGGCTGGGACCACAGGTGCCCGCCACAACGCCCGGCTATTTTTTTTGGTTGCAGCCATTATTGTTGTTTGGCGGGTCCGGGCTGGATTCGAACCTGCCACCTTAGGTGTACGTGGCTGGCGTCTTAGCCGCTTGAGCCACAGGCGCCGAGCCTATTTTTCAGTTTTTAAACAATCAAACATCAGGTAGTCTTCATGTTATGTAGATAGGAGACATCTTGGCAGAATCAAGCAGCCAGTGACTATCTAATACATAGAGAAATCTAATACTTTATGTCAAAAAAATAACTAAACTATAATAATAATGAAGATGATCTATACATAGAAAAAAATGCAATTTTTTTGTCCTGGCCCAACTCAAACTTCCCCTTTAAAAATTCCACAACACTTAGACAAAGAAAAAAATTAGAAAACAACCCCAGCAAGTCCATGGCTCAACCCTTTGCACTCTCCTCTTTTCTCAAACACTTGGAGATGGGTTAATGGATCATCAGTGTTCCATACCTGAGGATACGCACGGCTTGTTTCACCCAAATCCGCTTTGGGTCTGCACACACGGCTAATTTCCTTTTTGTATGAAAGCTGAAAAATCAGAAAATTTGATTTGTGTTTAACAAGCTTTTAATTTTTTTTTCCCACAGAACACGCAATGGAAATTTTATATTCCAATTGATTTCTCTACATACTAAACATTTCAGCTAAAAAGGTAAGGTAAAATACAAAAAGAACAAAAATGCTTCTTATAAAGCTGAATGTAAAATGAAAGTGTTTCTTCCTGACTTTCTCTGCACTGTCACAAATGGTTGTACAATGGCAGGGAGGTGAAGCCCCAGTTGGGTCATTCAATGCTGCTGCTGGCGATTACCTGAAATATGTACGCATCTAATCAATAATGTATATAATTCCAAAATATAATATGCTATGTGAATCAAGAACATTATATGTGATGGTACAATTAGTCTAAGATTTTACCATCAGCCACAAGCATTTTCTGTAAAAGATGTTCATTTCAAAATATATGTCTTTCATGTTTTCCTGAGATAGCATTTTAATAGCCTATAAGTTTATCTTAGAAAGTGGTTTTTGCCCTATATTATGTTCCTTTTTAGAACAATAACTAAGCTCTTTTGCCTTGTCCCAATCCTATTTAAAGTGAACTGAAATAAAGCTCTCTTTACCACATCAGTTATTTCTTAAGGAGACTCCAAAACATTTTTATATCCAAAATTCCCATGTATTTGTGATATGATTGAATTAAAATCAATGAATAACTTACATGATGGCATTGATGTCACAGGCTTCATTGGCCAGCTGCTGTGTGAAGCCCACAATATATCTGGGAGGAATGATGTTTTCTGTATATCGGAGACAGCAGTCAAAGTTGCTTGCTGCTGAAAGAGAAATGAAAGGTATTGAATGCATATGAAGAAACTTACCCCATGATTGCTATTACAAAACTCTCCTACAAGTTGTGAAAAATCTAGTAAATTTAATCTACATGATAAGTAAAGTACTTAGAAGAAGAGAGGTCCAAGGTCCTTGAAACCTGCATTAGGTCACCCAGATCCATCTTAACATAGCTTCCAGTTCTCTTAAAAAATAGTGTGTTGGGAAGTTTTCATTCAATAATAGTTCAGAAACATGTAACTTCCCATAAGTGAAATTTTTTTAGAAAAAAAAAAATGATGATATTTCACTTCAGTTTACTATAATCACTCAAAACTATGGGCATCCTTCCCTCACTGCTTGAAGAAATTCTTAGAGAGAACTCTTCAATTCAGAAAATAAATTGGCAGACAATTTATTATCTGTCTGCTGAGTACAACAAGTGAGGTTACAAAGGAAAATAAGATTCATCAGAGCTAAAGCACTTTGAATGAAATGTCAGTTAATGGGAACTTTTAATTTCATTCATAAAGTTCGACATGTGCATTTCCAGGAATGCACCTGTTGCTAAAAGTGATGTACTCCTCAGTAACAACGCAATACTTGGACACTCCCCTAATTTAAATTTCAACCAGCTACAAAGCAAGGGATTAATGTTATTTCAAAATTGTCAAGCAATGTCCCCAGGACCTTGTGAAGGGCAGTGATATCAGGTGGCATACTGTGCCCCTAAAGGATGAGTTTTGAACTTTACTACAACTATTTAGTTCAGAGGTAAGAAAGTTGGAGAAGTGGGATTATCCTCCACATTTCAGAGTGACCCCATTTATTGGCAAAGTTACACAATTTACATGACTCCCCAAAACAGTACTTTGGCCTTGTCCTGACGTTCAGGGGTCTCTAAGAGCCCACTACTACCCAAATCTGCTAGGACTGAAGCAGAGGAAAGCCGGCTTGGTAGCAGTAACTCTCTCTCCTCTACTCACCAATGATCTGACAACTTCCGTCCCTCCCTCTTGTATACTTTCCTACAGGTGTGAATTCCTTAGAGCCCCCCCAGTCGAGTTAAAAGCTTAGAGAAAAAATAAAAATTATTCTTCCTCTTCTGCTAGCAGAAAGAGCAGCACTTACCTTCTGTTTCACCACAGAAGTGGAGTAGAAGCACCGTCACCGAAGCAGCCAGGAGAAAACTCTTCAAACTGCACATCATTTTCAGCTCAAAGAGTAGATCTGCTCAGTTGGGTAGCCAGTGCCTTGGAAGGGCTGTTATGCTCTCATAGCAGCCCAGGATGGAGCTCTGCTTATATTAGGAACATACACTGAAGGCGTGTTCTCACATGGGGTTTTCCCCATTGATCAACCTGTCCCATCATGTCATCATAAACAAACCCACAAGGAAAACTTCCTGCCTTTCCCTAATGTTGGGAAGGTGTGAAGGTCAAGGCAGGGGCGGGGATATTGAGAACGGAAAAATCCTGTTAAGTCCCTTGGATTTGCAAAGAGGAAAAGCAGCTCAGCTCTGTGGTCCAGAAAAGACTTCTGTCTAATTTCAACTTAATCTCCTTCATCTCTGAAAATAGAGGATTAACAGTAATACAAAAGTCAGCCCCCCACAGGAGCATTCCAATACTCCTTTCTTATCCCTTTTTTGCTTTCCAGAGCCAGTTAGGGAGAGAGAGGATGAGGTGAGATGCCGGGAATACTCCAGCATGTATTTATAATTGCCTGGTAGAAGTTCACCTGTCACAAAGAAGATCCTGAATTTCTAGACTGGCATTCAGACCAGCATGGTATCATTCAATATAATAATGATAATGTTCCCAATTATAGTGGAAAACACCAACTCTTAAGTAAGACTCAAGCCTCAACTTCACCTTGATTTGATGTCAACTCTTCTATGATCTTATACATTTACATGGTTCTAATCAATATTGCAGCTTAGAAAATAATTTCCACCTATCTTTAACTCTTCATGATGATGTACTTATATAACTCAATATAGAGCCTCAGAAAGATTGAAGAATAAAATGTATCAGAGGTAAGTAATCAGCAAAATAAATGTCAGATATGATAATAAGGATAATGTAATGTAAATCCCTAACTTAAGTGATATAATAAGAACTGTTCATTAGACCCGAAGAAGATGAAAGTAAAAAGATTAAGAAAAGATACACCAAATGGTAAATAAAAGAGAACTGAAGTTATCGTGCCTCTGTCAGACAAAATAGATTTTTTTTGAGACCAAGTCTCACTCTTCACCCTGAGTAGAGTGCCATGGCATCATCATAGCTCACAGCAACCTCAAACACCTGGTTCAAGTGATCCTCTGCCTCAGCCTCCTGAGTAGCTCAGACTACAGGTGCTGCCACAATGCCCCAATAATTTTTCTCTTTTTAGTAGAGACAGAGTCTTCCTCTTGTTCAAACTGGTTTCTAACACCTGAGCTCAAGCAATCCACCCACTTTGGCCTCCCAAAATTCTAGCATTACAAGTGTGAGTGACTGCAGCCAGTCCCAAATAGATATTAAAACAAACGAACAAAAAAAGTTATTAGCAGTAAAAAGAGACTTTTATAATTAAAAAGGATTAATCTATCAAGAAGATATAAAAATTGCAACCATATATACACCTGACAACAGCACCACAAATGCATAAAGCAAAAACTGACAAAATTAAAGGCAGGAATACAAAATTCAACAATAGAAGTTGAAAGCTTTAACACCATACTTTCAATAACTGATAGAAAAACTAGACGTGATTCACAAGAAATGGGAGACTTGAACAACACCACGGGCAAACTATATTTAACAAGGTATCTAAGAATACTCCACCCAACAACAACAGAATAGGCATTCTTATCACATGTAAATGCAAGAACCTCCAGGATAAGTCATATGCTAGGCCATAGAACAAGTCTTAATAAATTTAAAAGGACTGAAATTACATAAGTATATATTTAAACTTTAGTAGAATTAAATCAGAAACAAATAAGTGAAGGAAATTTGGGAAATTTACAAATATGTAAATTTAAACACCACCTTCCTAAATAACCAGTGTATCAAAGAAAACAGTCGCAAGGGGAAGTAGAAAAAAATCGCAATGAATGAAAACAAAATGCAACACACCGAAATTTATGGGATGCAGCAAAAGGAGCGCGCAGAGGGAGATGGATAGTATAAGCATCTTAAAAAAGGAGAAATATCTCAGATCAGTAACGTAACCTGCTACCTTGAGAAATAAACAACAACAATAACAACATAAAAGCAGACCAAGCTAAATTCAAAGAATGTAGAAGGGAAGAAATGAAAATTGGATCGGTAGTTAAAAAAGGAATTATAAAGGAATACCATGAACAAGTATATGCCAACAAATTAAAGTACAGAGAAGAAAGACACAAGTATTGATCCTGATTCAAGAAAAAAATAGAAAATTTAAATAAATCTCTAACATGTAAAGATATCAAATAGGCATTAACAACTAAACTAAATTTTTTCACAAAAAAAATCCCAGGACCAGATTACTCTACTGAAAAATTCTACCAAATATTCAAAGAAGAATTAATGCCCAATCCTTCACAAACTTTTCCTAAAAGTAGAAGAAGAGAGAACACTTTTCAACTCATTCAACTTTCCTCATTTCCTGCTTGAGGAAAGCATTATTCTAATACCAAAAAAGACAAATATAGCAGAAGAGAAGAACAGTACAGACCAAAATCTCTTATAAATACAAATGCAGCCATCCTCAAGGTAACACTGGCAAACTGCATCTAACAGCACATAGAGAAGATTATATGCCATAACCAGTGGGATTTATTCCAGAGGATATAATACAACATATTAATAGGTTAAGAAATAAACCATATGAAAAGCAACTGGCAAAATTCAACATCTTCTCATGATAAAAAACACTCAACCAAGTAGGACTAGTAAATAAGTTCTCAACCTGATAAAGATTATCTAAGGTACCTCAAAACATATCAAACTAAATGTATGATTTAATGCTTTCCCTCTGAGATCATGAACAAGACAAGAGTGTTTCCTCTCACCACTTCTAATCAACATAATTCCTAGTAGAATCCCAGCTATCTTCTTTGCAGAGAAGGAAAATTCAATACTCAAATTCATATGAAATTGTGAGGGTCCCTGAATAGTCGAAATGCTCTTGAGAGGGAAGACTAAATTTGAAGGGCCCACACTTTCTGAGTCCAAAACTTACAACAAAGTCACATCAATCAAACATGTGGTACTGGCATACGAATAAACTCATAGATCAACAACATAAAATTAAAAAATAAATCCCCTTATCTATGGTTAATTTTATTAGAGTGGCAAGACCATTCAAAGTAAGAAAGAACATTCTTTGCAAGAAATGATATGACTGTATAGTCACATGCAGAAGAATGAAGTGAGACCCTTACCTCATGCCATATACAAAAATTAATTCAAAATGGATCACAGAACTAATAAACATAAAAACTATAAAATTCTTAGAAGAAAACATGAGAGTCAATCATCATGACCTTGGGTTAGGCAGTGATGTTTTAGATATGGCAACAAAATTAAAAAATGAATAAACTGGACTATATCAAAACTAAACCCTTTCGTACTTCAAAGGATACTATAAAGAATGTGAAAGGACAACCCTCGAAAAGGAAGAAAATATTTGCTAATTATGTGTCTGCTATGGGACTTTTACTTGTATCCAGAATATAAAAAGAACTCTTACAACTCAAAAATAAGTAGATAAATAACCCAATTAAAAATGAACAAACTAGCTCAATAGATATTTCTTCAAAGAAGGTACATGAATGTCCAACAAGCACATGGAAGATGCCCAACATTTTTAGTGATTAGGTAATTACAAATAAAAACCACTGGCACATACCAGTTCACACCCACTGGGATGCTTATAATCAAAAGGACAAACGGTAAGTGATGATGATGAGGTAGAGAAACTGGAATCCTCGTACACTGGTGATTGGAATTAAATGTGGTGCAGTCACTTTGGAAAACAATTCAACAACTTTTCTAATGGCTAATCATAGAGCTACCACACGAGCCGGCAACTCTACTCCCTGCCATATACCCAAGAGCAGTGAAATGTGCGTCCACACAAACACTTGTGCACCAATGATTACAACAGTGTGATTCATGATAACCAAAAAGCAGAAACAACTCACTGTTTCGACTGATGAACAGATAGACAGAATATGACAGATTTAAACAATGGAATATTATTTAGGGGTAAAAAAATAAAGAGATACTGACAGAAACAAAGAAGCAGTTGAATCTTGACCACACTATGGCTCAATTAAAAAAAAAAATAGCAGAAGAGGCCACATATTGAATGATTGTAGGTACGTGAAAGATGAGGAGGAGAATAGCGATTGCCTAGGGCTGGACTGGGATGTCCCGTGAAGGGAGAGGGGCACAGGGTGACTGCTCATGGGTAGGTAGGGCTTTTTGCTTCTAATCTAAAAATAGATAATAGGCAATGGCTGTACAACCTTGTGACTATGCTCAAACACATGGAATTGTGTAATTTAAAAGGGTAAACTTTATGGCATGCCAATTACATCTCAACAAAGCTGATAACAACAATAGCAAAAGGAACCCTCCATCTCCCTATGTCTAAACTCACTCAGCCCAGATCCTTTTTTCTTTAATCTATTACTGCTCTTGGTTACTTGAAATTTATGTTCATTTCTCCTTCTTCCTCCATTTCTGTGGTCTCTCCTCTTCTCCTCCCTCTCACTCATATCTTAATCACGTAGCTCTTTTCTTCTCTCTTTAACAGCAATAAAAAGGTCTGGGTTGTTTTAGTATTGGGTGAAATTTTATTTCCTTGTGCTCATTTTGGTACATGTATCATTCTATATTTCCATGTTTGTTACTTAAAAACTTTCTAAAATGGTTTTGTATGTGTTTTCCTTGTTTCATCAGTCAACACTCAGTAAATGTACTAATATGAAGGTTAACATTAAAAAAATTTTTTTCAAACCTGATCTAATGAAGGTTTCCATTTATTGCGCTAGAATATATATCCAATCATTCTTTATAAATAGTTTAGATACATTCCTAATAGGTCTTGATTTCATACATATACTAGAGTTGCAGTATCTTTTTCTTGTTTAATTTTCCAGAAAAGAGTGTCAAATCTTTTTGACAATTGGCAAATGTCTGACGTGGAAAGTGTTTGGTAGTATATTAT